TTTTCTTTCCTCATTAGCTCCTGGTTTAAATCATTTCTCATGTGATGCTAGCTTCCCAAATTTCCTTAAATTTGTCGGGGCGTCTGAGGATACAGGCWAGGGACGAGCAGATCCTCTGCTGCGGCTCCCGTTTGAGATGAGCCGGGATGCGCAAACAGGGCTGGGAGCAGGGGCTGCGGCTCCCGGGAGCCCAGGCTGGTTTCCATGGCGATGCCTCGCTCTCCTGCCCGCCCCGTCCTCCCTTCCCTCCCCCTGTTGAGGCCCTTGCTCAGGCAGCAGCTAAGGCAGGAAGGGAGCAGCCCCCTAAGGCTATATGCCCCAAGAGTAAGGCACGCTGGATGGGCTGCCCTATAGCCAGTGCGTTACAGGGATGCCTTCCTTAGAGGTGGTGAAATCGGAGAATGGCAGCAGCCACCACGGGCTGTGCTGTGTCGGGGGCCAGCGGAGAACAGGCACGAGGGAACAGGCTTGTGCGGAGAACAGGCACAAGAACAGACGCTGCCTCTTGCAGAGAGCTCTTGCCACACAAATGGTGCCACAGCTTAGTACAAGGGCTCTAAAAATATCCGAAGGAAAATCAAAGGCTCCTGCAGAACGGCATATGCACTAACTAGGCTTGTCGGCTCTCTGAAGTCCCGTGTTTGAAGTTGTTTGGATCCAAGAAGAAAAACAACTTTGTTGCCCGTGCTGCTCTCAGCCACCCCATTTCTGAGGAGACCAGTGGTCCCACAGGAGAGTGTGCAGAAGCTGGAAGAAGAGGGGTGCAATGGGCACGTGGCTCATGGTGCTGGCATGCCAGGGCCAGGATGGAGAGGAAGGAGGTGTGGGGCAGTGGGGCCGTGCTCGAGGCTGGGAAGCACTGCCAGAGCACTGGGGAGCACTGCTGGCCTGCGGCAAGGGGCACCCCCTGCTCATTGGGAGAGCTCCGCTGGAAAATCCAGGATGGGATAACAGGTAGGTTTCAGGTCTGAGCCATCTTCTCAAGGACATCTCAAAGCTCCTTTCTTGCTCAGTTTATTAAAATGATCACTGATCACTGAGAGATTAAGGAAASAGGAACTGGCTGCAAACCTCTGTGTCAACTTCTCTTAGTAGCTGTGACCACGCTGCAGGATGAGGTGTCACTCCTGTGGCAGACAGAGGATCATGGGGCAGCTCCATTCCAATTTTTAAATGTTGTGGGGAAAAAAAATGCTTCTAATGACTCTGATGCAACAAGGAACAGGTTTAAAAAAAGAATGGYTGTGTGTCAGCTATTGCTGTTTTTGAAATATTGCTGGGCTTGAGTATTACTCAATATAACCCAGTGCTAATCCTCTAGGCAGGAAGGACCATCCATGGCAAACACACCGCCCATGTTCAACTCCACATGCAGCAAAAATACAGCTCGCTCTCCTCCATCTCTGCAGCAAATGCCTCAGCAGCACTAGCCTCATTCTGCTGTTGATAGGCTTGTGGCGACCTCGTTTGTGAATCCTGCAACAGCCTAGGGGCTCCGACAGACTGACTTTGTTATTTCTTGTTGTGCCTTAATACTGATTGTGATGGGTGACAGAGTGTCCCCAAACTGTCAATGAGGTAGATACTTCCCATCCCTGCCCCCAAAATCTGTTTTTGTTACTTTTATGTGTAGCTTTTGATCTCTACGTGCTGTTAGGAACCAGCTAATGCAATGATAGTATTAGGTCATTCAAGTAGGYTTTCATTCTTCAAGATATATGATTTATAGACTATCATCAGCACTGCCCTGAAAACACTGGGATGAGCAGAAAACTAAATCCAAAGTTCACTTTTTTTTTTCCCAGTTCCTGTTCCCTAGCTCTCTTCACAGCTACAGGAAAGCATTTCCAGCTTTGTTTATATACCACAGTGCTGAAAAGAAAATCATTGCATTTCCTGTGTTCTGCAGGGGTAGAGCTCCATTGCTGRCTTCCCTGCTTTCTCCTTGTATGCCCATCTCTGGGGGATACCACTTGGAGGATCTTCCATTTACTCACCCCAATATTTTGCTTCACTGAATTGTGAGCTGCAGGCACAGGGCTCTCATCCTACCACAAACAAAACAGACACAATGTTGATAGAGTTTAGAATCATTTACTCACTGGTGGTAATATACAGTTTGTGCTGTAATATTAGACACAATTGCCAAGTCTCATGCTCTGCTTTTGTGCTTTGGATTGTGAGTACAATATAGAGTCTTGACAAACAACACCTGGTTCTGTACAATAAAGACATTAGGACACTGAAGGATTGATTAACCAGAAAAGCCTTCTCATGCTTGAAGGCCACAAATCACAATTTTGCTGCGTTACTTTTATTTTTTAGGTTGCTATTTATCAATAGAAGAAACAATATAAAACGCCAAGTATTATGATTATTTACTAATCATGCTTATCTTTCAGCAAATGAGCCAAATTCATTCTGAGACTGAKTTAAATTCTAAAACATGTAAAAGGTGCTGCCAAAGCTCTGCCTTTGATCTAATTGAACTTTAAGCTGGCTTTGAGAGTGGAAGAAGCATGGTCCAAGCCACTTCAGCTCCCAGCATTTGCTAAATGTCATTGTGCTGAACTCAGCCCCCTGTTACTGACATAGTTTCTACCTCTTTTCCACTGCATTTCTGAATCACTTGTGCATCATGTTCTCAACGGTGATGAAAAACAGTTCAGCTTTAACGTGCAATGTGCAATTTACAGCTATCATATCATTTTATGCTGAAAAGATGGATTTACATAGGAAACCAGAGTGCAGTTTGCCTTTTCAGATGAGTGCCCCTAAAATCAAGCCAGATCATTTGTTTGGGCAGATGTGGATCTGAGGGCAGATCAAGGTAAAAGCAGTGTATGGTTACAGACTATATTTTAATCATATTACAAGTCAGTTACTCTGACCTCTCAATCCTTCCCCTCCTCTCCCAGAAGACTACATGATTTAAGAGATGCTGGATGCAATATGGGAGCTGCATTTCTCATTCTGTTTTATAGTAGTGTTGTTTTGTTTCTGTCACTGGATGAGCGTCTATGAATCCCTGCCTTCAAACCTGCAATTTTCTGATCCTTCATTAATAGGATTGTTCATTCCAAGTAGGCAGATTATGTTTTTTTCTCCTTCCTACCTCTTTCCTTACAGCTTTACTTGCTTCCTCACCTTATGTGGGTGATAGCAGGCAGAATAAACAATGAACCATTGACTTACTATTGGGAATTTAATCACCAAGCTATTTGGTCACATACATAGTTTAAGAATATTTTCAGAGAATCATAGAATCATTATGGTTGGAAAAGACCTTCAAGATCTTAGAGTCCAACTGTAGACGATTCAACACCATGTCTGTTAAACCATGTCCCAAAGTGCCTCATCTACACATTTTTTGAACATAATTTTTTTTTTTGTCTCTTCCCAACCTCATGAGGTAGTTTTTACATGCCACAGTTTAATTAAAATATACATATATTAATGGTGCTCACTGATGTTTCTGTATTGATAACCTCAGGGGCTGAAAAACATGTGGCTGTCTGGTTCAGCTCTCTAGCCATATTGCACTTAAGCAGTATTTACTGTTCACGCTGCTCAAGCCGCTTGATATGATGACACTGAGCAATTCCAAATGCTTTCTTTTTATATTTACGATGTCGTCATCGTWATGCTACAATGAATCCCCAGAGTTCATCTGTTTGGGCCAATTTAGCTCCTAAAGCCCTTCAGATGCTGAGGGCTCCGCTCCACACGGGAATTGATAAACACAAGTTATAGGGGGTTAAGTGGGCTAAGGGCAGGGCCCTGGGCAGCGCTGGAATGTGGTGACAAACAGCTCCTATTAACAGACTTCAAAAGGGCTTGGGCCGAGCGTCCCTGCCCCTCCAGTACCACACGTACGCAGCATTCCTTTGCTCCAGGAAAGCCACCAGCCTTAACTGCGCTTGCTTTCACTCCATGCGCAAATGGCCGCCTCATTAAATAAACATGTGACGGCCAGTTAAGACTGCATTGCATGCAAGAAACGTTCTCTCCAGGCTAAAATGTCCGACAACAAAAATGAGCAGGCCAGGAAGGATGCATGCAGTTTCGCCTTCCTCTCTCCCACTTTCATTGCAGCAAAGGAGAGAACAATACCACTCTTTAACACTGGTGGAACTGTTTTGCCCTTAAGACTTTTTTATATAATATATAGATATAGATATTTCTACTGTAAAAATGAGATTTTTTTTTTTTCACAGCAAAATCAGATTGCAAGGGGCTCTTTCTTAGACTCTATAGGATTGCTATCTAATTACAGGGTGTGCCAAAATTACCAGGGGAAGAGGCAGATAACACTGCTTACTATCAGCCACCAAGATGTTATAAAAGGCCCGTTAAAACAAGCGGGAGGCAGAATTAGAGAAATTGCTTGGCAGCAAGACAAATATTTGGCGCTTCAGGCTTTCCAGTGCCAGCCAAATACCGTCGCACTATGAAGTTATGACTCTTATCATTATCCTAAAAAGAAGTAAGAATCACAGCACACACAGAATCCTATATGAAGAACAGGCCAACGTGACAAAGTATTTCTTGCATTTAAATGGAAATAATGATTCCAAATTTATAGGAACATCTACATACAAGCAGTGAATGCAGCAACTAGTAAAAAATCACTGTCAACTAAAAATAACACTATTGAGTCTAGTTAATTTGCAATATCCTGCAATTCTTCATTAAATGAAAAAAAAGCAAAAAAAAAAAAAAAAAAAAAAAGCAAAAGAAGTCAATTCTCTCTTTGTTTGAACCCCCACTAGCCACTGGAGCAATAACAGAGATTTTTTTAAAAAATGACTGTATGATTCACTGCCACATTTTTTTTTTTTTTTTGTGTGTCAAAGAGGTTTTTGTTTCTTTCTTAAAGATTGTCTTGTAACTACCAATTATACCACACTATGGCCTATGCTGAGAGTAGCCAAGTAAAGGTAACAACACAATTTTCAGTTGTCCATCAGACTTATTTGGTCTTTTCTTTTCACAGAAGAACAGAAATCTGCAATTAGCAAGGAGCTCTGCACATCTTCTAGTCCAACCCTCCCTGCTCAACGCAGGGTCACCTAGACCAAAGTTGCTCAGGGGCATATCTAGTGAGATTTTCGATATCTACAAGGATTGAGACTCCACAACCTCTCTGGACAACCCATTCTAGTGTTTGACCACAGTCTTTTTTTAAAAAGTGTTTTCTTACGTTTAAATAGAATTTCCTGTATTGCAGTCTGTGCCTGTTGCTTATTGCTGAGGAGAGTAGGGCTCTAGCTTCTTTACTCCCCTATCTCAGATATTTATACACATTGATAAGACCTTCCCTCAGCTCGCTCTCATCTACGTAGACAGACCCAGCTCTCTCAGACTCTCTCCATATGTCAGATGCTCCTACCTCTTAATCATTATGGTCATTTACTGCACTCACTCCAGTATGTCCACATCTTTCCTGCAGTGGAGAGCGCAGAACTGGCCCCAGCATTCCAGATGTGGTCTCACCAGTGTTGGGTAGCAGGGAATGATCATTTCCCTCAACCTGCTGGTAACTGTCTTCCTAGTGCAGCTCAAGAATTAAATGCAGGATTAAGCTGGTTCTGCAAAAATGAAGTGGGCAGCAACGTATTTTTGCTATTATCTGAGTTCTGCAGTGCTAAAAACCATATGGTCCTCTTTTCAGACTTTCACATGACTTGTTGTCATGCAAGTCCCTTAAAGCTGTGTCTACTACTTGATATCAAGTGGCAGAACAAACAGTGCGCTCGTAGGGTCATAACATCACCACTGCCAATGGCAGTTTTCAGCCCATTTAGACACCAAAAGGACAGTAACATTTTTTAAAAAAACAGTAACATTTAAACCACATCAAATCTTGAAAGTGCACACCACACAAAAAACAAACAAGTCATGGGGAATCTGCCTGTCAATGAATTCCTCTGTTTGGAGGCAATGAAACACATGGCAGTTCTTCGAAGTCCTACTAGGAGGGTTGGAGTCTGATTGCTAACCATCACACCAAAACCATTAATTAAATGCTGAAGAAAGAAATATTCTCACTTCTTTTGTTTAGTCTCGGATGCTTCCTGAAATATATTATGAGTATCTGAAGTTTGTCCAGCTCAGAAATTCCCAGACAGGAAAGATGGCACTAAGCAGAAGGATTTGACCCAAGGTTTGGAGGTAACACCAACAGAAACTATTTATCTATGTTGAGAGTCTAAGTGACATTGTAGAAAACAGGATAGAAGACATGATCATTCTGTTGAAGGATTCTGAAATTTTCACATTTTTAGTGTCTTTCAGCAATCCTAAATCCAAAATATCCAACACTCCAGAAAACAAAATTGTAGGAAGGTATTTGACATAGTGTTTGGCAGTGTTTGCTTCCAAGGCTACACAGAATGATGGGGTTGACTTTGTCTTACATCTTCTTACATTGTTCTTTCTCAGTTCTTTCTCCTTTCTAGGTATCCATTTAATGTATATCAGACTATGCTTCCACCTGATTTTACTCTCTCTTTCATACTGCTACTTTGGCTTAGCAGTTAGTTTTGTGAATAAATCTCACAGTCCTGTAAAGCATTATGAAAAACAGTGATTAGCAAAATGGCTGCAGCATGTTTGYGATCATGGAGCCAGCCCTCACAAAGGGACTTGGGTGACAACACCAGATGTCAAGGAGTTGATCACATTTTCTACCCAAGGAAGGAATAACCCCGCTCCCCTTCCTTGGGTTGGTTTAGTCATTTCACTGAAACAGAGCTACACTCTTTAGAAACTACATGGAAATGACAGCATGCAGTCTGATAAAATTCAAAACAACACAGTGAAATCCCTTGTTTGAGAGAACCACTTGACGAAACAGGAGATTGTCCCTTAAATGAATTTGTCAGTCTACTTCCTGGGCTAGCATGAGACATTCTTCTGGTAGGAAACCAAGGAGGTGGCGTAGAAAGAAGGCTGTGCCTGGCCATTCTGTGGATGTGAAGGTGGAAGGTGAAGTACAGCAATTTCCTCAGGCTCAGGGGCCTGGCAGAAATCTGGTTGGCAGTAACCCTGTGTGTCTACATGTGGAGCTGGTGCCACATGGCTATCTGTCTCCTGGGGTTTCTCAGCATTTCTTCCCAGTGGTTCCTCTCTGTGCCCTCAACATGCAGGCCAAGGCTGCACTTGCCAAGTACGTGGCTCTGCCCCACACCATCCTGGCTCAGCATCTCTAACTCCACGCTAGAGGAACGCAGCAGCTCGTGAGGGACCTCAAACATGATCATCTCATTCCAGACAGGGTTGATCTTGTGTTTTGCACGTTTTGTCTGCTTCTTCTTCAGCTTCAAGGACTGATGCCTCAGTGTCACCTTGACAGAAACATCTGTACAGGAAGTGAAGAGAGACACCATATGTCTGAATGCAGAACAGAACAGATACAAGAAAATTTCAAGCAATGACAGCAGACTTACTGACAGAACATGAGAAATACTGAGCCAGGGATCTACTAGGTGATCTCTTTTTTTTTTTTTTTTTTTTTTTTTGTCTTTTACCTGTTAAAAATTATTCAACTTTTTTGACTTGCCTAAGCTCAACTTCTTTTCTCCTAGCCACCACCCTTCCCACTGTCTTTCGAGGTCTACATAAAAGCAGAAAGCAACAACCTCCATTTTCTCGCTGTTCCACTTACCATTTCCCAGTAGGTCTTTTAGCTGCTTGGAATGCAGGTTTTTAGCCTTAATGATCACCACAAGCAGGCGGTTGGCTGCTGGCAGGTAGCTGATGGAAAGCAGAACCTCCCCATGGCCTGTAGATGGCTCCTGGAAATAGACAGTTTTGACCGTAACTTTATAGAAGTGGAGCAGTGCAGGGTGATGGCATAGGTCTACCACGTCATCACAGTGCCCTAGTACAGAAAGTTCTTGCAGTTAAACTGGATGAGAGTGAACCAAGAAAAGGAGGTTGAGGAGCCTTGTTTACTCACCAGATCATAGGGGTTACCTCTTTCTTTTGCTGATGTAAACTAATTGCTTCCTACTGGCCATTTTTAATAGAATATTTAGTCAGAAGAAGAGTATTTGGGACTATCATACGTAATGTATGAAAGTGTCTATCTGTTTTTTGAGAGAGGACCCAGTTGCCCTCCAGATTGTTTAGATCTCCTACTTTCTACTTTCATTACTGCTTTTCATCATTTGCTCTTCATTTCAATTGCTATTTTTGCTATAGATTCTGACTTGTTTGGTATTAAAAGCATCAATGAACCTAAAAACATCCATAAGTTCAGTACAGTCCTTTACCTTCCTGTCTCCTCACAATGTGAACAGTTCTCCCTCCTACCCCAGGCTGCATTTCCTCTAGGGCAAGTGCTCTGAACAATAAACCTTTCCCTTCAGGGGGCCACGCTGTTTTGGGTTTTTTTTTTTTTTTTTTCCTTGAATTCGCTTCTTCCCAGTAGTGATTGGCCGCTTTGCCTCCTGACCTTTTCCACCTTTTTCTCACTTGCTCTGGACAGGTAACCCTGAA